GTTAGTCATTAGCCTTAATTTAGATAAGCGTATTTCATCTCCAATGCTCAATCTGTAACATGTAAATCTGTTAGCAATGGAATTATTGAAAATAATTCTTCATTAACAAATAGCTGTATAATACAATATAAACTGTGATAAAATAATTTCCAACATAAACCATGACATAAGAAATTTTGTAGATTATTATCGATATGTTAGTGATTGATTTAATGTATTTCAGTGTTGTTTGCCATAAAATATTTAGTATTTGATAGTTATTGAATATTTTTTTAACCCTAACAAGCATGTCTACTGTTATATTTTGTACATTCAACTTTGAACATTCTATTGCAAGTATTGAATATGATTATCTAAAAAGTCCCTTAGTAACTTATGTGCAGGGCCCTCGCCTTCTGTCTCAATTGAAATCAAGTTGAATACCAAGCCCATTTTAGCATGTTGCATGTTTACATGCGTTCTCTGACCTTTTTCTGTAACATTTTCCTTTCTTTTCTGCATTTTTCTCAAAAATTGATTATTCTTTTCTCTGTTTTGATTATTATTTTTTGGTTGCATGCATTAGGCAGGGACCAAGGCTCCAAGGCAACCATGGCATGATTTGCATTGCAGAATTGATGGACCTGCTGTATATGATGTGCTTATAAACTTTGCTCAACGATGGAGGAAAGCGACAAAGTGGAGGGAATTCAAGTTTTTTAAGAAAACAATGTCCCATTGGCATGATGATGCTATGCTAAAAATTGAGCGTATCTCATGGATACTCAGCCCTGCTTTGGCTGTTTTAAAGGATAGTACTGCAATCCCAGAGGATGATCCTAAACTACATGTATATGGGGAAGATCACTCAGAAAATTGGCATGTACAGGTTGATACTTTTTTGTTTTGTGGATATCTTTGAATAACTTACATCCTTTTCAACTTTCATACTCATTCTTTTATTGCAGATCTTCCGTTCCATTGATTCTGGTTCGGTGCAGGGATTTCCCAAGACAATTGATGTTGCACATGCACAGGCAAGGAAACCATAGCCTTTGTTCTATTTTCGAACTTTTGCTAAAGTAGCTGTAATCCGTTAGGAACTCTAGGAAGAAAACTCGTCTTCCCCTCGCACTTCACATTTTCTTTGGCGTTATATCTTTTGCAGAACCTTGTCTGCTCAAAAAATCTGATAGTAGATAAAAGCATTGAAGCTGCATATATTCAGGCAATAAGATCAGCTCAGCATTTCATATATATTGAAAATCAGTATTTTCTTGGATCGTCATACGCTTGGGAATCATACAAAGATGCAGGTCAAATTTTAATCTTCTTGCTATGTTTCTGAATTGCAATGTACAGGATTCCACTCTGTAGCATTGTATTAATGTTGGCTTGGGTTTATATTCTTGTCCATATGAAAAGTGGAAACCTGAAATTGTTGCAACTTAATGCATTGAAACACATAGGTAAAACTCAATAGTGCGGTCAGAATATGGTTCGGCAATAGAATATCATCTAAATGACCACTTTGTCACTTGGAATGCATCCCCATTTTAGAAATTTAATAGGATGTTGCTTCAAACTTGGTAAGATTCCAAATTATGCAGCTTCCTAGAAAAAAATGAAATGGTTTTGAGATTGTGCAACCTCCTAAATAAAAATTGTAGCTCCTACATAGTTTTCCTTATATTTCTTTTCGAGATGCACTCATTTCCAACACTCTTGGAGTTGTTACATTGCTTCCTGATTTCATTTGATGTTCACTTGATCAGGAGCTGATCATCTGATACCGATGGAATTGGCACTGAAAATCACTAGTAAAATTAGAGCCAGGGAACGATTTTGTGTATATGTTGTCATGCCTATGTGGCCTGAAGGGGACCCTAAGTCAATCACTGTGCAGGAAATACTCTTCTGGCAGGTAATTTTCGTGAAACTCTTTGATTATGTCTTTTGGATTTTATGAAGAAGATAGGTAGTTTTAAATGAGCAATGATTAGGTGATACTGATACTGGCCATAACAATAAAAAAAATGATTAGGTGATACTGGCCTCAAATAGGCAGCTATATCAAGGCAAGGATACTTTCACAATAGAAATGCCAGCTATCTTGAACAGTTACTGCATCCAAATATCTGAATGTACTAGTTATAAGAGTGTGCATTAGCATAAACAGTGGCCACCTCTTTCTAATATCTATAATCATGCCTATCCAATAGAGAGAGCTTTTATTTGCTTTAATAGTTGAATGAGAAAATATTCTTATCCTTTAAAATGGTATATTTCCTTCCTTAGACATGGAGGGACAAGCCAGAAAAAGGACATTGAAAAGGGATGTTTATGGGCATTATTGTATGTTTGAGGACCTGACAGAATGAAAAATGAGTGGTGATTTTGATAAAAAACTCTACTTTCCATGACATATTTTCCTTCATGCCTCTCATTGTTATTATATTACTATGCAATTTTGATGATTCAATATGTGATTAACTGAATATTGAAGGAAGAAGCCATCTGAAAAAAGGTATACAAGAAGAAATGAGAAAAGCTTTTTAAGATTTTTGTTTGCTTTCGACAGAGCCAGACAATACAGATGATGTATCAGGTTATTGCAACAGAGCTCAAATCGATGCAGATTTTGGACTCGCATCCGCAAGATTATTTAAATTTCTACTGCCTTGGTAACCGTGAAGAAATTCCAGGCTCTATTGCTCAATCTTCTGGTAATGGTGATAAGGTAATAGGGAATTTTCTTATTCTTAAAATATTCTTGTAGTGTATATACAGTATTATACACAAATACACTTGGGAGCAACTGAAGCAAAAGCTGCCTTTAATATTGATAAAAATGGGTTCTAGAGTCTTAAAAAATGGCTGACTTTTTAACTTTAAACAATATCAAATTTCCTAAACTCTGCTTGTTTTACGTCTCTCCAAACTCTATAATGGTCGCTCAATTGGTGAATGATTATTCAAAAGCTTGATTACACAAGTTGTAGCATGCTTTACTATGGACCACTAGTTGGGGTGGGTAAATCATTTATGATAGAGTGAGACTGACTTATAAAGGTGCAATTGAGATGAGTTCTTCAGGTGAACAGAACAGAGTTGTTTCATGAACCACCGACGAACCTAATAGTTGGATCCATGAGGAAATGCCAGTAAGGTAGTAACTGAAGCCTTACTCTAATTATGTCGAGAGGCTGACTGAATCCAATCATATACACCCTGAAATGATACGAAGTTCAATTTTATCAAGTAGCTAACGTAAGCATATGAGTTAGTGCATAGATTTAGGAAACACCAGTGACCAAATCAACCCTCATACAGTAAACACAATTTTATATCGTTGTGAGTTGTCACCCTCTATGCTTTCTTGTTTTTTGTTTTATTTTGCTTATTTGAATTTGATCAAGCTTGAATACTTTTGTGAGAAGTTTTCTTTGACGTGCAACCAGGTCTCAGACTCATATAAGTTTCAGCGTTTCATGATATATGTTCATGCCAAAGGAATGATAGTGGATGATGAGTATGTTATAGTGGGCTCTGCCAACATAAATCAGAGATCTTTAGCTGGGTCGAAAGATACAGAGATAGCTATGGGTGCCTACCAGCCTCATTATGCATGGACAGAAAAGCAAAGGCATCCACAGGGACAGGTTTGAAAGAAAATCACATAATGCACATACTTTATCTTGAGAAGACACGTTAACCAAACACTGATCTTAACGAAACCGGATACATCTGTTTATTCATCCTGTCTTGATCTCCAGATCTACGGATACAGAATGTCCCTGTGGGCAGAGCACCTTGGGAGGATAGAAGAATGTTTCAAGGAACCAGAGGCGCTAACATGTGTGAGGAAGGTGAATGAGGTTGCTGAAGAAAACTGGAAGAGTTACACAGCTGAAAATTTCACTCAACTGCAAGGACATCTTCTCAAGTATCCAATACATGTAGGCGCGGACGGGAACGTAGGTCCATTACCTGAATATGAAAATTTCCCAGATGTAGGGGGTAGAATTCTGGGAAATCATGCCCCTACTATCCCAGATGTTTTGACCACGTAGTCCTCAATAATTAACACAATTGTGAGTATTTGGACACTGTAAAAATATGTAGCTGCAAGATCCTTATTTGTCATTTTGTACATTTGTTCTATGTTGTACAATACAGGGTGAAAAAACAGGTAGAAATGATTTGATTGTGGGCTTGTATTTCTGCTGGATATTGTGGTCTCATGGGGACGATAAAGTTGAGATGTTAATTGTTTTGATTCATTTTAGTTCATGTGCTACAATTTTTCTTTTAAAATTCAATTATAATAGTTATAGATGACTATTAAATCAATTAACAATCTAATACTTTCTATTAGAAAAAAAATTAATTCATTGATTAGAGAAGTTTCTGAATGCCAATTTCTAGCGTCCCTGATAACTTAGGATTAGTGGTGATAGGACTGTTATTGTGAAAATTAAAGCTATTAATCAAGATCTTCTTGTTTCAGTCGTATGAAATCTTGATTAAATTTGAACTTTTATGCATTTGAAAATATATATATATGACAACTATTGTAAAACATCTAAAATATTTAGACTTTAATTCTCTTTATCCACTGATAAAAGAGAATATAATTTGAATAATGCTCCCAGACAAATGAGATAGATACATCATGAATGTATCTAGAAATTATCCATATTTGGAGTTACCGACGATTTTGTTTGATTTTCTTATTTGGTTAACAGCATTGCTATGCTCGCACCCATACAAAAAAACTATCCAATTTTTATTTTAAAATTATTTGATTCAATTAGAAATTGGGTCGGGTCAGAAGAAACTTCCAATTGAGGGGTATACTTATTAAGTATAGTAACATCGAAAGTACTTTTAGTTAAATACTAACATAATAATAAAGGACAAATTCAACTACTAATAAATAAAAGTAGAGAATATTCTTGATCGTTTTCCCACACGAAGAAAAAATAAATATTTTTTCCTATCTCAAAGGGATTGAAGTGGTGTTGTTCAAAATAAGAGGGCATAACTAAAATTCTGGTTATTACGCTAAAAGGTTGAACTCTTTTAACATTTAATTACAGCATCATTCTGGTCGCGTCAAAATCCGTTTGTCCCTCATATTGGCAATTTAGGGTTCGCTTCCCTCATCTGAAATGGCAAGCTTTGCTCTCTCTTCAATAATATATCTTTCTTCAATAATATATATGTGTTTTGCATAATTTCAGAATTTTTTTGACCTAATTAATTGTCGAAACAACAAATTTATCATCTTTATGATTTCTTGCAGGCTGATTCTCCTCGCAAAAGGTACCACTCTCTTTCTTTATATAACTTTGAGAATTTTCTGTGTATTTGTTGAATCGCCTTGATCCGTCTCAACTTTCGGTAATTGATTTTTTTTTTTATTAGGATTTTTTTGTCTTTATTTCGCTGATTGATATTTTCTCTATTCGGTTGTTGGCCTTGTGAAGGGTGAATACATTGTTTTATTCATCAGGCTAGTTGGGATATCTATGTGGCGTAAAGAAATTAATTGGGGTTTGTTTGATTTTGGGGGAGTTCATTTTGATTTGTGTTTTGGAGAGATGTTAATGTGCTAATCTTTTTTAATTAGAGAAATGGTAATGTATGAATCTGGTTGTGGAAGAATTGTTTTTAAGTTTATCATGTAGGGTTAGTTTTCCGTTTGTTTTCTTGGGGAATGTCACTGAAGCATTAAACATTTCTGAGGCTCTCATATGGGTAATTCTGTATAACAAAGTCATTCATCCTCTATGTTTCTTATGCAAAGGATAAGGTTCGATTTGAAGCAAAGTTTTCCAGGGAACATCCTAATGAAGTGTCCCACTGTATGGTCTTCAAAGGTCGTCCTACTTATTGATAATAATGTTTACGTGCTAAGTCTTTCTTGAGTTAGAAAGTATCGATCAATCTTTATGGATAAGTTTTTGACAATTTTTACAAGTACAATTGTTGAGCATGTTTATGGAGAACACGTGTACATAATCTTACTATCTTAGCGATGCATTTCTGTTTTCTTCTTGTACACAAATAAATCTCCAACGGATTTTCTTTAAGGCACTGTCTTTAGTATATTATTAGTTGACAGAGAAATTTTATGAGCTACATATACTTGATAAAGATGCCATCATTACTCGAGGAACCATCTTTAAAGACATGTGGTTGGTGTTAATGTTTTTTTTTGAGGGCTAATAGGACTGAACTGGTTCAATGTTGTATTTTTTGGGCTCCCAGGTATTCCCGCTCTCCTTCACCTTGGGAAGAAAAGTCAAGGTCTCGCTCTCGATCCCCAACTAGATCACAGTCAAGGCCAAGAGGAAGATCCAGGTCCAGAAGTCATGGAAGGTATGAATGGAACTTTACTTTTTCTTCACCTTCTTTATGTTAACAGCTTCGTTTCAGTTTCTCTAATTTTTGCTCCATGACTTGATTAGGGCTGAAGAAACTAATCCCGGAAACACACTCTATGTGACTGGATTATCTTCAAGGGTCACTCAAAGGGATCTTGAAGAGCATTTCTCAAAGGAGGGAAAGGTTGGTTTCTGGTTTACGTATAAGCAAGTTGTTTTCTGGTTATGTTTCTGCCATGATTCGGTGCTCATACGGCATACCAACATTCACTCTCGTTCAAAATCATCCGTATTGTATCTACTCTTTATAATGGAAGTTTTTCATTTATGATGATTTTCTTAGAAACATCTAGTTTTCATTTAAGTTTATTGTATGAGCAAAGTCTTGTCAATGCATTTGCCAAGATATTGATGTGTTGTGGCATTTTGGCTGGATTCTTTTCTCATTGTTCATACTTTAAAGCTTGCTATTAAAGTTTCTCTTTTACTTTCTTTTGATTAGGTGAAGTCAGCTTTTCTGGTTGAGGAGCCCCGTTCTCGCATCTCTCGTGGTTTTGCTTTCATAACAATGGATAGTCTTGAGGATGCCAATCGCTGCATTAAGCACCTTAATCAGTCCGTCCTTGAAGGCCGGTCCATAACAGTGGAGAAGGTGAGTTATTTATACATTGATTGATGAACCATTGTTCTGTTGGGTTGCTTTTCTTTTTTCTTGACTTGGAGGTTTTCTGATTATATTCAGAAGACATTACGTCAGCTTTGTTGGCAGCAATCAAAGATGATCAGTTCTTCCATTGCAACATTATATTCACTCAGCTTGACCAAATGTCCTGCTAAAACAGCTTTTCACATGCATCTGATCAACTAAACTTAGCAACTATTTTGCCAAACAACTATACAACCTCAGCAAATACTTCAAACTCTCAACTAATCAACGATCATTATCAACAATATAATCAGGCTTTTATGGTATCTCATCCTGGCGTTGGTTCTATCTCCATTTTTTAGTTGTTATAAGACGTGCAAAAATATTTAAGCTGATATCCTGTGTGACTAGTGTCATATCCTATATATTAGTAATAGACATGGTTATGTGCTTGTGCCACCTTCCTCACCAGTATCTCCAGTTATGCAGAGGTTTTTCGAAGAGACTTGCTTTTTTTGGCACAAATTAGTTGAATGCTATGTTCTTCCTTTAGGAGTGCATTTTCTGGTTCTCGTTTGTTTTGGATGTTAACATCATAGGTTAAGATTTCATAGAAATTAGAAATACATCTGTTTTTTTGTTGTGAAGAGAACACCCGAGAAAAGCAATTTCATATTCTTCCATTACAAGGAATTCATTCTCTAGAATACATTATCTGGTCGAGATAAGCCATTTGTTCTTGATGCAAATCTCATATGTTCAGATTTCACATATTGAGATGATATATTTTGTTTTTCAGTCTCGTAGAAAACGCCCAAGGACTCCAACACCTGGTCATTATCTTGGGCTTCATCAGAGCGGAAGGGGTGATGGTAAGATTCTGATGCTGTGTAAGTTTCTATTCTATTCATACTGAATTGTGGGAATCTCTAAAGAACTCATTGCTTTGGTCAAAGGTTATCATGGTGATCGTGGTAGGTATCGTGGCCGTGGTGACTATGGGTACCGAAGATCTCCAAGACGCTCTCCATATAGAGGTGGGAGAGATTATTCTCCTAGACGCTCACCTTATGCTGGAAGGTCGAGACGTGCGCGATCCCGGTCATATTCTCCTTATGAAAGGAACTACCCTCGTGGTTATAGATAAGGGGGTTTCACAAGGCACATGCGGTTTCCTCCTCAGCAATGAAAACTGCTTGTAAGGATCTATAAGTTTGATGTGGACTAGTCTTGATGGTGTGTAAGGTGTTAAAGAGTACTGGTTAATGAATGTATGTCTGGTGTATACCTTGAATGTGGATAATCTGTAAGCTTGATGATGTATGTATTCTCTTTCGTTGCTTGTCATTTTGTTGTCTTTATGGACCGTGACATCGTTTACGATATCTGTTGGTTCATTCTTCCATGTTGTTTAGCAACTTTCTGGCTTGTGGCTTTGTCTGTTACTGTTATTAGTCAAGATCCTCTCTTTTCTTTGTGTTGAGCAAATTTTCAACTCAACCCGTAACTTGGATACTAATTTGCTTAATGGTATTTTCTTGAACAAAATGGAGTAACTGAGTTTCTTAGATATTTGTTGATGACTTGATTTTACAAGATATGACATTCTTGGAGATGTGGCGTTATTACAAGATGGTCCAACCCCAACATGACATTTGCCTCATTCTAGTACAGACATAAGGGCCTACGAGCTTATCAAGTTGTTAAAAGTAGGTTCTGTAGTTAATTAAACATCCAACATAGCTACTGAATATTATAAATGGATAAGAATTAAGATGACTAGACATCGAACAAGCTTCCAAAGTCAACAATAATATCCTACATTTTCTAAAGAGCACGTGAAGATATTTTTCAAATTAGTGTAAGTATTTATATTTGTTAATAACAAACGTTGAAAGAGAATGTGCCACAATAATCATAAATTAGTATGAGGATATCCACATGGACTATTCACTAGTCTTACTTATATGACTTCTTCTTCTTCATACATATTGACCTAGTAGTAGCTATTGAAAGAGCTTTGACTATATTTGTTCAAAAATTTAAGGGAGACCCTTGTGAACTTAAATATTGCTAGCTACTTCAAAATGTTTGAATTTGTGGTTAAATAAAAGAAAATTGAAAAAAATACGAGTGTTAGGAGCACGCGATGCACGTTTTGGCGCACTCTTGCCTTTGGTGCTCTTCAAGCCAACCATTTCCTTCCACATGTTCTATAACAATTAACAGACAACTACTATTAAGTAATAATGTTTGATGCTTTGATTGATTGAATATAAAGTTTAATTTGAAATAATAAAGTAATTTAAAATTGAAACTTTAGTGGTTGTTTGTAGAGTATCTTTTATCACCCACGTTAACAAGTCACTACTAAGTACTAAATGCTACTCTACTTTTTTTTTTTTTAAAAGTTAATTTCAAAAAGAACGAGCAAAATGTTACTTTCAGTTTTAACATGATATGGTTAAGATCATGACGTTAAAAATATTTTGGTATATTTAACATAATTTTACTTTAGTATTAAAATATTATTATTTTTTTATTTTCATAAATTTTATGTCAAGTTAAATTAGATTATTCTTTTTGAACGGATTCAGCATGTGGTGAATGATGATAAAGAAGAGTATTTTGCCAATAACAGGGTAGACCTAAGAGGAACTTATCTTCCTCGACTTTCCTTTTTCCAACACGTTGTTTTTTTTAATAATAGAAATGAGATAAACGTGAATCTCATTGCCTAGCACAATACTTCAAAAATATGGCATCTCTCAAAATAAAAGTTCTACGTGAATTCAAACATTAAATTTTTAAAAATATTTAGAAATAAAATTTGAATTACTCCTCTATTTTAATTTGTTTATTTTTACTCTATTTTAATAAGAATTTCTCTTTTTCTTTTTTGACATCTCTTTTAATTTTAACTTTTTAAGTGATATACAAAATTAATAAACATTTTGATAGTATATAATACTTATATATTTATATTAATATTAATATACTCCCTCCGTCCCTTTTTAGTTGTCCACTTTAGAAATGGCACACAGATTAAGGCAACAATGATTAGCACAGTGAAGTTACAATTTTATCCTTATGACAACTTTTCACTTCAAAATTACAACCACTTATTTGAATTCAAGTGAAATAAATTGGAGGGAAACAACATACACTTTTACAATTTTCAAGAAGTGTAAATAAGGGTATAATAGGAAAAAATTTGTTGTCCTTTCTTGATTTGTCAAAATGGACAACTAAATAGGGACAACTAAAAAAGGAAATATGGACAAGTAAATAGGGACGGAGGGAGTAATAAATAAGTAAAAATGAATATTCTACCAACAAGTTCATAATAAAAAATACTCCCTCCCTTTCAAAAAGAGTGACCTGATTTGATTTGGCACGGAGTTTAAGAAATTAAAGAAGACTTTTGTATCTTGTGATCCTAAATTAAAGTTATGTCAAATGTACAAAATTACTTTTAATTTTGTGATCTTAAACATGCCACGTGAAAAGCTAAAAATAAAATATTACCAATTTTTTTTTTTTAAACAAATTAAAAAGGAAAGTAGACCGTGGGTACTTTAAAAAATGTAGTAGGTGTTTTTGTATTGGGGAAAAGGAATCTCGTCCTCGTTGTGGAAGTGCAGTATTTTAAAAGCCACTTCAACATCTACGATGCTCCATTCCTTCGCCCAACAAGAAATATTTTTATCTTTTCCCACCTAATTTATTTTATCCCTAAATCCCCCTTTTTTCTCCTCTCTCTGTAAACCCACATTGAATTTATCGTCTAACAATGCTCGGCGTTGAGTTAAGGATCTCTACCGTCGCCGGAGTTTTGACGGATCTACCGGAAACAAGTCACCGGAGTGCCAGCTGGAACTGTAACTCCTCGATTCGAAATATCTCATATCATCTCTCTTCCAGAAATAGACATTGTAGAAAGTCTAGATTCATGGTAATCTGTAGCAAGTCATCACGCGGAAGCTTTAATCGGAAATCTAATCAGAGTGATGAACCGGGTGATGATTATATTGAAGCTGTCGTCCTCGTTTCAGGTATTGGAAATTACTGTTTTGCCCTTTCCTCCGATAATTTTTTGTTGAAAAATACTGATGCAGATAATATATTCTTCATGAACATTACTTTGTTGAAATGTATGAGAAAGATCCGATTTTTCTCTCTACAGTTTTACTTTTTTAATCAATGTAGCTCAACTGCTATTAGTAAGTTCAAAAATGGAAAATTGGTAGCTTTGCTGCTCGCTCCACGGACTTTGAACAAGTTGCTTTCCCAGTAACATTTGACGATCCTGTACGAATTTGTTAAAAAAAAATCCACTGTTATGGAATGGAGGGACCTAAAATCTATCTTGCTCAGACTCTCCAAAAATGTTGTCGCACCTGTGGATCATCCAAAGGAAACTACTTTTGGAGTATACGATACACACATTTTCAGAGAGTCTGCAACATAGCTTATAATCATTTAAATTTGTATAAAAAATGGCTTGAGATGGGAAACCATGCACTCTACTATTTATATCTCGAATACTGAATCAGTTGAGTTCCCTATTTGATTCCTATATTCCATTTTGGTTTAGTCAGGTCTATTTCATGTGCAGATAACTAGTGTAATCCCGACTAGTTGGTATATATGTATATGTGGATTTCTCTGCTGCCATTATGTATCTTTTCTAAGTTGTGACATTGGTCCCGGTAGAATTTTCATATTTTAGATATTTCTACCTAGTCCTTTTCTATCACCTTTTGGAGGTCTGTTCCAGACATGACCAAACTATCTCAGGCTCTCTCTCTTTATTCTCTACCTGTGCTACTTGCATCTTTTGTTATTATTCTTCTCCAATATTCTACGCTTGCACGTCTGTATTATTATCCTTATTCATCCATCTTAATATCCATATGTCAATATTTATTCTGTGGATGTGATGGGACATAGGGGCTCAGCACTCAATCTTAATATAATATTGCTGGTCTAGCTACTTATATAAAAATAGCCTTTCACTTTGTTAGGCATCTTTTTATCGCATAGCCACTCATCCATCTCAAATACTTATCTTAAGTTATGTGTACTTTGAAATCTAATTGCTTAATACATTTTATCTGTAGTCTTTCTTCTGTATATTAGTATTTTCTTCCCTGCATCTGAGGCTAAGCATGTTTACCAATGCTGCAATGACTACAGAGACTATGAAGCACTACAAAATGCATATGGGTGGATTTCAAGAAGAAACAAGATGGCACTCATCTGCTCACCTGATTCCCTCTTCTTTTCACCCTAAGGATCGTATCGCTGATGCATCATCTTTAGGGACAGGATTTCTTCGCCGTTTCAAGAATCCAACTATTTTTCTTAAGATTTCCTGTGATGCAGAATATGTCTTACCAATTATTGTTGGTATGTACTTTTAAATTTCTACTTGGACAACTAACACTGTCTTGTTAACAGTTATCATACTGTTATCATAACTCTTACTACCTGCTACTTCAGGAGAACATGCTGTCGAAAAACTTATAGATTCATTGCATGAGGAGGATACTGGGGTAATTTTTTTCAAGATTTTGAAAGCGGATTCTCTGATTTACTTTTCCTTATCTTTCTCTTAACATTTCTTTGAGATGCTGATGTTGGGCCTGCTGCAGGATTGCCCCGACGAGTTCCTGCTTTTGAGGAATCTATTGTTGAAATCTGGCTATGAAGTATGTCAATACCACTTTAATCTATTTCATCATATGCATTCTTTTTCAATCTTGATTTTTTAATGATAAATATCAATCTTGATTTTAGTCTTCATGTTTACTTTTAGCTTCTCTTTTTGAATTTGCTACCACATTCCCTGATCACCAGAAACCTTTGGTTTTCAGAAGCATGTCACTCTAAATGTTCATATTTTTTTAGTTTTATATATTCAGATGAAACTTTTAGGAGGCGAACATTTACTCTTTCTGCCTTATCTTTTAGCTGCCAATTCACGGTACTAATATGCTTTTACCAAGTATCATGAAAAGTTCTTACTGATTGCTCTGACTTGTAACATGGCAAGTGAGCAGGAGGCTACTCTCACTTACTTCTACGTGTTTGTAAGATGTAACACTTCCTTTGAGATGTGATCACCTTTAAATTGGGGAAACAGACACCGCATCTTTAATTACTGTTTGAAGTGCTGGTCTTTCTTTCTTAATTTGGTGATATATCATTTCCAGGTTAAAATGGTGAAGATTACAGAAAGAGTGACTAGTACTTATTTTGCCAGAATATTTTTCCACAAGGTATGTTCAAAATACTTTGTTAGGTAGATTCAAAAATATACTCCTACTTCTGGGATTGCATTTAATCTGAACTTAACATTTTTGATAATACCCAGGCAGGGGAAAAAGATATTTTTAGTGTGGATGCTCGTCCC